AGGAATGCCTCATTGCTGCAGAAATGAGCCAAAGAAGAACATGGCCCTTAAAGAGACAATTTTTATGCTGACCTGAGAATCTCAGAAAACAACAAATGGAACATATAAAAGTACCAACCAAATACATGTCTGCTAAAATAAATAAATTGTATTATTCCAAATGACCATCCTAGTGAAAGTGCTATTTAAAACATTAAGCCAATTTATTTAGACAAGATCTCTCAGAATCTCTTCATGTTAAAATGTATAGGGTTTTTTTCCCCCAAAATGTAACTCATAAAATTATCTACTTTTCTAATACACAGTTGTCATGGGAATCAGACAGCAGTTAGTTATACACAAATTAATAAGATCACATTTATTTTTTCCCCTAGCATAATGCAAGAGCCATTAGCTGTAAGAACAAAGCATCTACTTAATTTAAGACCTTACAGGCCCCTCATTACTATCAGATTGGATAACTTTGAAAATATTTTCATGTATTTAAATTACTCAAAGTATTCAAAGACTTATCAATGGAAAGCTACAATATCTTTAAAATATTTTAAAACCTGACAAAAGACAAATAAAACTAGTGAGTTAGAGGTGAAAGGCTATCTTGGATATAGCAGAGTTTGTCTCAGACAAGATTTATAGATGCAACTGCTACAGGATAGTGAAAGAATAAGGTCTCTCCTGGAGGTTTCTGAAGTCTGCAAATCTTATTACTGTCATTTATTTTGTATCTCTTAAATGTAATTGCATTTAGTTTTAAAAGACAAAACAAATGTTTACACCCACCATCCAAAACATATGCACAGTACAGATTGATAAGCTGAAAGTATTTTTTTAAATGGTACAACTTCTCAGGTGTTCTTCGTATAATTAATCAAATGAGTGGATACAAAAGTCCAGCTCTCTAAATACTGGAATTGCTATTTTTGAAATAAGAAAACATTTTGCTGGGTATATAATGCTTGTATGCAATGTTTTATGTTTGATTAAGAATAAATGTAGGACGGAGTTTTACAGCATGTTTTCAATTAGGTCTATTATTGGGCAACTATGAGTACTCTGGAAACCTGGTATTTAAGAATTAACCTCAGCTGAGAGATTTTACACTTCAGCTTAAGCGTTTCTGTTGAAAGTATGATTCACTTTAATAATTTCCAAGAAACGAACTTGTGTCTCAACCTAATGGCTGACAATTATTTGTCTTGCAATTTTATGCACTCTTTAAGTTGTAAAGTGAAATTAATAAAACAAATACATAACATTTATTTATTAGATGTTGTATGCCATAAAGTCATTATGAAGCAAGACCTTCAAACAAAGCCTTCAATATCTACATTGCAAAAGCATGGTCAAAGATTAAAGGAAACTAAGTAGCACAACCATTTGTCTTGGCATATATTCAGAGGCAATTCTATTAAAATTTAAATTACGGTGGGGTAAATCATTAATAATTGGGCCAGATTATGACAGAGGGCATGTCTGTATGAGAAGTTTACTGCAGAGTTGCCCAATTAACTCCACAGTAAAAATGACAGCATCTACATGTGCAATTGTATTTGGATGGAGCAAACTAATTAACTCCACTGTAGGATACCACTGACAGACAAGTACTATCCTATGGTGGACTTATTTACTCTGTCACAATGAATGTGTAGATGCTGATGGGGCTGGCTGGGGAACAAGATGCCTCAGTGTAGGGGCTGCCTGCTGCCTAGCCCCGTACTGAAGCACCCTCATGCCCCAACCAGCCTCTGTGAGTATGTAGACTAGCCCGCGACATGAAGCCTGGTCTTCCTTCACCATCACTGATAAACATTTACAGTATATTGTGGTAGCACCTGGAGGCTTCAATCCAGATCATTCCTGCACAGGGGTAATACTTATCTAGGACAGACACTTGTGTTACAGCTAGCTACAGTCAACATGAGATTTCAACATACATGGCATACTTTTTCAGTGGTTGCATCTACATGTGCCCTTTACTGTGGAGTCGACTAATTAGCTCTGGAATAAAGTGTCATTGTTTGCATGTGTGGCGCTATTAGGCCACAGTAAACTAATTAACTCTGTCATAGGATAGTACTGCCTGACAAGTACTATCCTATGGCAGAGTTAGCGTGCTACAGCGCACATGCAGACAATAACGGGCTGGCTGGGACACAAGGGTGCTACAGTGCGGAGCTACCTGCTCAACCAAGAGGGTTTCTTTGCTCTTTTGCCCCACCTTGATGTGTACTGGGATGGTCCCTTTCTGTGCTTGCAGGATCAGTTCCTTGAGAAACACTCACCCTTCCTAGACTCCCATCTCTCCAATGCTTTTGCCTGTCAGTCCCTCCCCAACTAATCTCCTGAGCTTGTTGAGGTTGGCCTTCCTGAAGTCTAGCACTTCAGCCCTACCAGTTATCTTCCCCACCTTTCGCCGGATAGTGAACTCTATCAATAGGTGGTCACTATCCCCTAGGTTACCTTGTACCTGCAGATCTCCCATCAAATCATCCCCTGTGGCCAGCACCAAGTCTAGTAAGGCATTTCCCCTAGCGGGAACATTTACTTGCTGTGGTAGGTGAAGGTCATGTAAGCAGGTTAGACACTTACATGAGCGGATAGACCTGGCTGCCTGTTCCTCCCAGCAGATGTCTGGGAAGTTTAGGTCACCCATGACAACCAGGTCCTTTGAACACACTGCCTGTCACAGAGCACTTACATGCCCTGACTAGGGAAAGAGCCCTAGCAGGGAGTAATGAGCACAGCTGCTGGTTGCCAGGGCAACCAGAGGAGGTCAGCTGACCAGAAGTGGCAGGCCCGGGCTCCCATATAAAGCCCAGGGGCTGAGGCCAGGCTGGCAGTTCCCTACCAGCAGCCAGGGAGGAAGGAGCTCTCCCTGAGCAAAGCTGAGAGGAGAGGCCTGACCACAGGTACAGCATGAGCCGGGTGAAGGATGGAGGATCCATGGGGTGTTTTGAGGAATGATGTTTTAGCCGGGCGGCTTTAATTTATGTTACAGCCCAGGGGGTTGTGTTTTTGTTGCTGTTTTAAATACTGGTGGTTTGGGCAAGGCTATTAGGGGTTGGAGGAGGCCTCATAGGGGGCACCCAGCTGTGTGGGGACCCCAGTGCCAGTGATGGCACAGCATTCGGGGTGCACTGACCCCAGCCCCAGAAAGGGGGGGGGCAGTTGAGAAGCCCCAGGAGAGAGGGCAGCATTTTGAGAAGCCCAGGAGAGGGCACAGCTTTATTGAAGAGCCCCAGGAGAGGGGGCCACACGTTGAGGAGCCCCAGGAGAGAGGGCTGCACATTAAGGAGCCCCAGGGGAGGGTACAGAGCAAGACAGGATCACGCAGGGCCCAGAGAGGGAAAAAGGGGGCCTGATTATAACAAGGCCCAGACCGAACAGAGTCAATTCCATCAGCGAGGCATGGGCTGCGGTGTAGGGGAGGAAACGGAGCCGCAGATAGTGCCCCCTGGCATCGGGGCAGTAAAAGGGCAGCCTCCCACTAATTAACATCAATTGACTAATTAACAAGGCATGGCAGGTGAGAAGGCAGGCGGTTGCCCCAGGAACAGGTGTGCGGGCCACATTGTGGGTAGGGTCCCACCAGGTTTCTATTAGCCCAACCAGGTTGAATTCTTTGTTTGTAAGCAGGAGTGCAAGTTCCTCCTGCTTGTTCCCCATGCTCCTAGCATTAGGATAGAGACATCTAAGCCCCACAGTAGGTGCCCTTAGTACTTCCCCATCCTGATGCTTAGTGAAGCCCTGGTACTCCAACGAGAACTGTGCTAGAGTTTATTCAGGCACATCAATAGCACAGGTAGATGCTCTCAGAGCGTGGCACAGTTCACCTCTGGCCACCCTATCACAAGTCCTGGCTCTTTCTAGTTTGCTTTATGGGGGAATTACAAATCTATTGTATTACATTTACGGATTACTTGTGAAATTAGAGTAAAATGAAATGTTTAATTACTCACAGTAACATGTTCCCCTGAGTGGATTTCCAAGGTACCTGTTTTCAGAGTCACAGCTGCAGAAATAAAAATTTTCAGTGTTACTAATAAATACATGTTATAGTCTGAAAGCAATTTTAGAATGAACATTTTTTCTAAGCATGAAAGGGCATAGCTTTATTATTAAAAAGTGAGGATAAGTGAATGTTTAAGGTATTTGAAATAAGGTAATTCAAAACAAATTCTATACTTTTTCTATATGTATGAATTATTTATATTTAACTTAATAGGCAATTTGAGAACTGGAATGAACAGTCTATCCCAAGAAGTTTATTTGTGAATTCTAAAGCTCTATAATAATCAAGGATCCTGGTTTTCTCTGTTTAAAAAAGTGTAAATTCTCTGATTAACACCTCCCACCCCCCTAAAATTCATGTTTTTCTGTGATTAAAATGAAATGCCACTATATATATAGCTAACAGTTGAACGCAAAGTTTTATTAATATATTTACAATTTTAAAGCAATTTGGAAGCCTCAGTTATTCAATAAAATAAATTCTAAATTTCTATAAATTTTGGTGTTTGATTTCCAGTTTATCATGGAAAAATCAAAGCTCCTCCTGTGCCCGCCCCCCACCCCCACCCTGCTAACCAGAATGCAGGTCCAGCTGCCCCTCACTCTCAACCCACAACCCCCTGGGCCTTGCCGGTGACCCTCACTCCCAACCCAAAGCCCTCTGGCTCTGCTGGTGCTCCTCACTCCCAACCCACAGCCCCTTGGTCCTACTGGTGCCCCTTACTCTCCACCAACAGCCCTCCAACCCCCCAGCCTTACAGGTGCCCCTCACTCCCAACCCACAGCCCCTTGGCCCTGCCACTGCCCCTCACCCCCCAAGACACCTCTGCTGGGGTGCCCCTCACTCATGACCTGAAGCCCTCTGCCCTCTCCCTCCCTGCCCTGTTGGTAATGCAGGGCTCCTGGTAGTGGTACCAAGCCTCCCCACCATGCTCTGCCCTGCTGCACTAGGTCTCACCCACTGGACCACAAAGGCCCCCAGGAGAAGGGTACCAGAGTGGGAAGCTCTGAGACGACACCACCCAGCCCACTTCCATCCCCACCCCATGCACAAATCTGGGGGGCATATGCCCCTCATGCTCCTGCTGGGAGTATGCACAGAGCTGGGAGCCAGTCTCCTGCTGCTCCCCATGAAGCAGCCTGCAGCTCCATCCCACTCCCCAGCTGGGCCCTGCAGCTGCACATTCCTGCCTTGGCCCTGGACCCCAGGCCCCATGCACCATCCTGGCTGGGCACCAGCCCCAGCCCTGCCCAACCCCCTCCCTACCTCCCTCACTATGGGGGCCTCAACGCCCCCTACCCCCAACTTACCTGTGGAGAGCTGCAGGAGTTACCTTCCATGCTGCCTGGCTGCCATGTGCATGTGTGTACACACATGCACATGGCTCCCCCACCTGATCACCCTCCTCTGGCTTCACCCAGCCCCTTGCAGGCTGGAACTGTGCCAGCCTTCACGAGGAAACCTGCCATTTCCCATATTTTTCTCCTTTAAAGGAGAAAATCAGCATTTTTCTCCTTAAAATGAGGAAATCTGATTTTCCCACAGTAAACTGAAACCCCGATCCCTGATAATAACTGCATGATCTATTCTGTTTTGCTTTGTGAGTTTCCTTACAAAACATGTTCCACAGCAATAATATGCTACATGGTTGCTGTTTGCTATCCTGTATAATACACTGGGACCAAAACAAAATTTTAAAAAACCCAACCCCCCTTCCCCCCCCCCATTTAAAACCAAGAAGCAACATAGCAAACTAATTAAAAAAAAAAAACTTAAAAAATGTGTTAAGTGTTAAGAAAAAGTCTCTGGAAGTGAAAAACGTTTGATTACTTTAAACATATTTTCAGAATTCACATTCTGTTGGATGCATCTGCTGTAAATTGCAACTATTTTACTTCCTGCTTATGTTTTCTACAACTAGCTTCTTAGAACAGCAGCAATGTGGGTAGTGTGTAGTTTGCATACTTTAGAGAGGTAGAATATAAACAACAAACAGGATATTAAAACTTTTATTAATATTCTTTGGCTTAACATTTATGTTTAAATACGTTTATGTATACTCAAACATGCACAATCAATATCCAAATACATCTTGAGAAACAGATTTTTCTTGGAATGCATAAAATGCAGAGTAATGCCTTTAAGCTACTATCTCAAGGAGACAGCAGATACTTCTCAGGGCAAATCCCTACTTGGAGTCTAACCTGCTCTGCTCTGCTCAGCTGGACTGAGAAGAGGGTGCCAGGGCTTAACCTACACTATTTCACTAACCACATGGTCCCTATGCACATCCTCCTGAGAGTAACATCTCAGGCACAGTGCCTATACTCTGGAGAGAGCATTTGGGAGTTGCTAACACAACTATGAAAGACACTATGAAAGACTGCATTTCTACTCTGTTGCACTGTATGACTGCATTAGACATGCATCCAATATAGCCCTTTAAGTAGACAAAATTAAATACCACTCCTGTATACTACACAGGGTACCTATTTTTTAACCCTTGAGGACAAAGTATCTTTTTCTAAACCTCTTCTTTAAGCCATCTAGCTTATGTTATTCAAATCCATCCTTGAGAAATTCCCTGTAGCATCTCACCAATGAGAAGTAGGGGAATTAAAACTAGAACCCTTAAGATATAAAGCTTCGTTTACTACATATCCATGGGTTCTTACTGCCACTACCAATGTCCTATTCCACATCTTCCCTTGCCCCTGTTCATCACATGCTGTTGTGCCACGCTCATTTTGGGGTCAATAAAAACATCATTAATAAAATAATAATAAAGAGGAAAAAACATGAAAAATAATCACCCTGTTATCATGAAACTGACTCTATGGAGTGAAGGGTCTTGCAACCAGCCTGTTGTTGCTTAATTTCTTGGGGTAGCCTCTTCCATTACTGCACCAGATGGTACAATAGTCATTCTGCGTATGGCAAGGTATATCAGTGACTAAATTGTCAGTGCCTTCCTCAGTTGTATAATCCTTAGAGAATAGCTACACGTTTCAAAATAATTAAATTAAATTAACTGGGTCATACAAAGTGACTCCAAAACCCTGTATCATTTAATCATTACTTCTTAGTTTTGTCTAGTAGAGTCACAATTTTCTGCTTACTTGATAGGATGGTTCATAAAACAAAGAGAAATGCTATAATTGTCTAAAACATCCTATAGAAACTTTCCGTATGGGTAGGTCAGGATCAGTCAGTTACTGTGACTTTGTTACAGGAAACCCTCACCATTTGTGGATTTGTGATTTGCTGTTTCAAATATTCATGGTGCGAATATTCGAACCCATGCTCTCTCCCCGCATGCTCTTGCCATGCTCCCCCCCAGCACCAACAGTGCAAGCGGCGTTTGCGGGAGCTCCACACTTGCCGCCACCAGGCTCCTGCCACCACCGCCATGCTCCCACCGCCGTTCATGATCGTATTCACAGATTTCCCCATTTGCGGGAATCCCTAGAACATATCCCCCCACAAATGGCAAGGGTTTCCTGTATTTATTGCACGTGCTCTTCAGGAAACTGGTTGGTAGGAAATGGTGCATTAGATTCATTTTATTTTGGAGTAATATTGAAAAAGCTGTTTAACCTAGATGTTGTATCATCACAGTTTGCTGAACCTGGAGTATACTAGACTTGCCACAGATTAACTCCTAAGAGAAAAATTTAAGGTTCAATTTTCTCAATTCTGCTTTGCTGTTGATCTCCTTAATAGCTCCCACTCTAATATTTGGTTGTAATTGTGTTCATTTTATTCAAAAATAGGCCAAAGGATTCCACTGGGTCTTTGAGAAAGAAAGCATCATAAATGAGAGTACTCGTTTATGGCATTTTAAACATAATTTGATTCTTCCATTGAATTAGCACAGCTCTTTAGAGTTTTGTTTGTCTTAAACTCTCCAGACAGCATTCCTGTTTACCATTAGACAAGAGCATAATACTCATTACTCTGAAAGAACTGTTACAGGTTACAATATAAGGAAAATCGTTTCCTTCTAAACATGAAGTAACTTCCTAATTAGCAGTGGAAATGTTACATGACACAAAACATTCAAAAGATGTAATGCTACATTTTATTTCTTTTCTCAGTTACCGCTTAATATGGTTTCTAGGGTATGTATTTTTATTACATACACATGCTCTTATTATGGTTGGTAAGGCATGCAGTCAAAACTTAGGAAATGCCAGAATTAAGGTTGAATGGGCAATTTTAATTCAGCATCCTTGTGCACAGAGACAGGGTATGAACAGGTGCTTCCCTTTCTAGTTGTGGAAATTTCTGTGAAAACTGCAACACTAGAAATCATTCCAGGAGAGGGAGTGGGACAGGCAGTTCAGCCTGTATGTGCCCCCCTCCACTACTCTCCTCACCTTTCCCAGGCCAGCGATACTGTGATCCTGGTCTGGGAAAGGTGCAGAGAGCAGCAGCTGCTTCATTCCCCAGTCCCCACAGATAATGGAGTAGTGCAGAAAGTCTTCCCATTCCTTCCCCAGACTGGGGACCCCCCGGTCCAGGGTAGCACAAGGAGCACTGCTTTGTTGGTCCACTCCCTCCCAGTCTCTGGGAGGGGAAGGAGCAGTGGGGCAATGCCTCCTGCTTATTGCCCATATTGAAGAATGTACAGGGAGCAGTGGATGGCTGCTCTTCCCCTTCACATCTTTTCTCTCCCAGTCTCCAGGAGGAGAAGGAACAGCAGGGCAATGTCACCCACCACCCTTCCCCCTGCCGCCCGACCCAGTCTGGGGAACACACAGGGAAAACTGCTGCTCGACTCCTCCCAGGCATGGAAGTGTTGAGCAAACAGGCATTCCTTCTATTGAGAGAAATTCTCTTGCAAGGGAGATCTTCCTGGTGTCAACCTGGAAGACCTTGCTCTTGGATGCAGCATTTGTCCTCTGGGAAAAAATGAATGAGCACCTATACACTGGCAATTTCTACTGGGGTCAAAGTCTCTAACAATATGACCATTTCCACAGGATCCCTGCTTCATC